AAGTGCTGAAAATCAATAAACTATTAATTATTAACCTGGAAAATTGAATATTTTAATTGACCCTGATAACTCGAAACCCCGCTAACTGGAACACTTTTTCGCTTCCCTTCAGAGTTCAAGTTGCTGGGGTTCTACTGTAGCATGAAAAAGTGAAAATGTTTACAACTTAGAAGGGGCGGTGATTGCGCTGAGATATACATGCTCTATAATTTCAGCTACCAGTAATTTAAGTGTATATTTTTAATCAATAGATGTAGTAGTTCATGCTTTGGATACTACATGGGAGCTTCATAAGCCATATCTTCAGAAGTCCACCTTGCTGAGTTCACTGCTAAAGAGAGCAGAGATGACTGGAATGAGAAACATAGAAGAGGAAGAGGAAGAGGATTTACCCAAACCAGGAGAAACAGGTACAGTGTATGAAAAAAAAAATTCAGTAAAATTCCAGATCATCACTTAAATATAAAAAAATTTCAAATCTGTACCCTGGATCCAAGGTCATAATTAGGGTTTCAAATTCGCAGATTTTGGTCATAAATAGGGTAAGGATTTTGGGAAGTGGGCCGCACATCCCCACCCAATTTTTCTAGGAGAACACCCCATCCTGGGTGTTATCCATCGCATTTTTCCCCTAGAATTTTGTCAGGTTGTCACAGAAATCAATAGTAGTCATCAAAATTTACAGGACATAAGAGTCACATTTATATACTGGAATGCTTAAGAGTCATTGCAAATTGATATCAAATTTTTGGTATAATGATACAGGTACATGTACTGTACTTCCCTTGCTCTGACCTGACCATGTACAGTCAAATAGATACATGTAACCCCAATCAGGTCTAATTGGTTTTCCACTTGTGGCCCATGCAGATTCATTCCACTGCATAGCCTTGTGTTTATAAACACTTATTTTGTTAGCCTCTGTGCCTATTTCAACCACAATATTATTTAAATGTAAACGAAACTGTCAAAAAGAAGTATATTTTAGCCTCAGAATGATCAGTCCTTTTAAATGCATTTTTTCATTGATTGAAGCTGGAAGTAATTTAGATGCCTTGAAAACAGCAGCCAGCTCTGGAAATATGGACCCCCTGGCTGTAACATGTGATATGTCACCTGCCAGGAGAAGATCAAGTGTAGAGTGGTACAAGAACCAGCTTACATTTAAACTGAGAATCAGAGACCCACTAATTACCAAACAAAGTAAGCAATAGGTATTATTTATCAATTTTAATTTTTTAAAGTCATTTTAATTTATGATAATTTTAGCAGGGGTTTCATTAAGGGCCATGCAGGCACCAAGCAAATTGATGGGCTGTGACGATGATTTTACCCGGCTGGTTTGACCATCTAGTAGAAATTTTTTCTAATAAAAAAGTTCAGTTCAAATAGTTTTGCCCACCTGTGAAAACCAGTTGCCCTCCTGCTATTGCAACTACATGTGCATGTATGTATTTACAATACAGTAATGCTATAGTTAAAATAGAATAGTGAATTAACATACACATATCTCCTTGTTTTATTTTTCAGCTTTTGCTCTTGCTCTCTCTGCACTGTATGAGAATGAGTGTGACATGAATGTGAGTGAGGCAGACGTTGTTGGTGTCTTGGCTGCTGCCAGTTTCTTAGGATTCACAGCTTTGGAAAAATTGTAAGCCATGAAGTTTTTGCCATTATATTTTCATGTAAATATGGTTTTTGTTGAGCTCACTTTGGGATATTTCAATACCTGTACATACATTACATGCATATTTGGAAAAAAAAGAGTAAGAAGTACATTTAGGGCCATTGAATGGCAGATGTGACACTTCATGAAAAGGCGAGACTAGTGTTTTTATTTGTGAGCCTGAGACATTTTCACTTCTTTAATTGTGAGACTGAGACTCCAAAGTGTTTTGAATTTGCAAGCTCGAGGTGTTCTAGTTCTGAGATGTTCAGACGTGATTTATACAAAAAAATAAAAAAATAAATTGGTACTTTGAGACTTCCTAAACCTTGCAAAAAAATCAAGACTGCTAGACAGCTTTGTGAAAAAATCAAAACTGTGAGATGTACAACTAACAGCTAAAAAAATTAGACTGTGAGACCTGTGAAATTTTATGAGACCCATGCTTTTTGAAGGACCATTCACCAACCATACATTTCAATTTGGTGCACAGTTTTAAATTCTTTGAATTCATATTTAAACAGACTGTTTAGAGCTGCATAATACTTCTAGGCAAGGAAGTCTAACCAGTTCAAACTGCACTGCTGAATGGAAACAATAAATAAATAAACAAATAAATAACTTTGATTATTGGTCATTATTTGGAAATCAAGCATTCAAATATGCCACCAATAACTTTTATCATGATTGTTCCAATGCTACATCACTTTATTAGCATCAAGGAAGAGTCATAAATGCTATAAATTAAAGAAACTGAAAAGGTACTACATGTATGGAGTTATCACAAAACCAGCTCAGCACTTATTTTATTGACAGAACTGCCTGATTTTGAATGGGGATTAAAGGGTACCTGGTCTGGTGACTAAATGTTTGTCAATAGATGTCTGAAAAGTGCAATGATGTCACAAACTTATGAAAGTTCCTTTTTTCAGGTGTGCTGATGTGATGTTGAGATCCATTGCTGCTTGGTCTGTCTGTGCATTTCATGCCTCAGCTTCAAAGGTACATGTACATGTAGTAGTAAGCTACTGATTGTATGTAGCATCATGTGCAAACTAGCAATGCTGATGCATGGTCGGGCTTGGTACTTTTTGAGAAAAATAATTATTTTTTAATCTGTCGTAATATAATTTGCCCATTATTAACCATCTTTCGGCCTGCCTGCCTGCCTACTCTCTTTCTTCCTTCCTTGCTTAATTGAGTACTGTACTTACTTGATTGATTGACTGACTGACTGACTGACTGATGGACTAATCTATCAAGTAATTAAAGATGCATGAAATGTATTTTGGAGCCTTTGAAAATCTATGCATTGATTGAAATTATTTTGTGATTGTATGATTATGCTTTTTTAAATTTGCTGTCAATCAATGAGCTGGACTTTTGTTCATTTCCTTATTCATTTTAGTACAAGCAAAGTTCTGTTGTAGATGCCTGTGAGAGATGGCTAGAACTCAACTTGATACCTCAGGTAAGCATACATGTTCATTCCAGACACATAGAGGTCTTGTGGATATCGGTAAGAGCTCCCATTCTTCGGAATTGGAAGATAAATCTCCCAGATTTAAAACAAAACTGGCATCTGATTCTGTTCTTTTCACAGCTCTCAGTTCAAATATTCTTGAGTCATTTGCCACAAGACCTACTAGAAAGGTGCTTGAAATCTACCAAGTAAGTTGCTATTTACATGTACAATACATGTAGGAGTAACTACTTTACTAACTGTTTCAGTAGCTTCTTGATGTTACATGTATATGAAGTAGCTTGACATTAAGTTTTGGTCAAGTAACGGATGCAGTGAACAAGATAAAAACAACACAGCGTGTTTCTTCCACATGTGTCTTGTTTGTTGCATCAATTACTTGACCAAAGATTATGACGATAATAAGGTACATGTGGGTTACCGTATTTTCTCGTAGCCATTGCACAAGCTTGCAAGTTCTTTTGCATAACTACATTTGGTAGCTGATCCAGAAGTGCCTGGATGTTCAAAAGGGAGGGAGTGTGACCGACATGTAAAGACGTGCCCTCTTTGCTTGAAAAGGTGGGGAGGGGCAGAATTAAAGGCAGCTCTTTTTTCTCCACCAAGTGGGTGGCTTCAGTTGGGAGAGGTGTGAAAATGTTCGGCCCTTTATTTTTAGGCAATGAAGGGGCAGTATGGTCACCCTGGCCGCCTTCTCAAGGTCCCCCACTGACTTGAACTTCTTATAGGAGAGAAAGATTTCAGGCTCTTAGTATCAATATTTAGAAAGTATGCTTACTTTTGTTGCAAAACCTCTGATGTGTTTTTTTGTAAAACAATGCAAGGCTTGTAGTTTGTCGTTGTTGCGGTTGTTTTGGGACCTCTTTTGGTCCTCTGAAGTGAAAAGTACAATTATTTAAAAGTGAATTGAATTTTTGAGAAAATGACTGGGATTCAGTTCAACCTCATTCTCATTGTAGCTAACATAGCTTGAATCATTGGTGACCAGTATGGGAAGACAACAAAATCATGTTAAAATGCCAGAAAATAGTAATCAACATTGAACAATAAATAACTATCAATAAAACAACCTGCAACGTTGTTTTTATTTTCTGTCCGTTGCTTTTCTCTGCTGCTGTAGGCTTTTCACATGGAGTGAGTATTCTTTGTACAAGACGCTTGCATATTGGATCTTTCTGCAACAACATCCAAACTTACAGGTAGGCTGCTGTGATCATTCATCTGTGTTATGCAATAAGTCAAATTATTTTCGCATCTGATTGATTCTTTCTTATGATCTATTGTTTCTTTATCATATAAAACGGATAGATTCCTTATTTCCATGCATCTGTCCAGTAATAGATCACCAACGACGTCAAAATGTGGTAAGGATACCAGTGATACACTTGCCCTATGGATCGCGTGCCACTTTTTTTTTTGTTCTTGCCACATTCTGACTTCATCTGTGATCTATTACTGAAGATTGCATGTTGACGTTTAAAATTATGTACGGTACTGTAATCTTGTATCGTGTTTATAATTGATGTCAGATTTTCAACTTAAATGTGCCCAAAAATTTTGACCAGCTTAGTCATAGTTCACTAAACTGTGAACTTGTTTAAATTTTCAACTGCTTGTGACATACACATAGTCTGGACATTTTTGCTTTCTATGACTCCAGTCAGAAGCACTTCTGCTCCAGTATTGTGTAAGATACGTAACAAGTTCAAAGTCTTTGTTTTTGTCCTAATTGTTTTGAAAGTTTTTGTTGGCCTATCAGCGCTTGAAACAATGCCGTCCAGACGTCTGGGACAAGTAGATTCCCCTTATGGGCAAGTAAATTTTCACCCTCACTACCCGACGGGCAAGGAATCAGTCAAGTTGTCTGCCAACAAAAACATTAAAAGAGCAAACTAAGACTTCCCCAGGGCAAGCAAAATTTTATGGCTACTGGCCAAAGGCAAGCTGGAATTCAAGTTTTTTTTTTTCGAGTCCTGCCTATTGTTTAATTTGTTGCTCTATTTCTGTTCAATATTTCTCTCTATTATGAATTATTTGCTGTTAAGTTTTAAAATATATATTTTTTTGTGTGCGCTATAGCTGATGCCTTCGTGGGGGACTGTGGTTACCTGGTTTATGAGGTGAGAATAAGTTCTGCATAATTTGAAAACCAGTTGGGACTAATTTTTTGCAAGTAATGTATTATGACAACATGTTTTTTTTTATAATACTTCTATCGATTTCCTCTTCCTCATTAGTTTACCAAAGAACACTTCATTCCTCGACAGGGAGGAGGTAAGAATCTCGTCCTTTAGTGTTAGATTATCATGAGTTTGTTTTTCTATTGTTTTGCAGTGAACTGATGGTGTAAGCATCACTGGGCCACATTTCTGCGAACTTAGATTTAATACTACTGGGGAAGGCACGGTGGCCACATGGTTATTGCCCTCGTCTCCGGATCGAGCGGTCCGGGTTCGAGCTCTGGCTGGGGACATTGTGTTGTGTTCTTTGACAGGACTTTCTACTCTCACAGTGCCTCTCTAAACCCAAGTGTATAAATGGGTGCCAGTGAATTTAATGCTGGGGGTAACCGTGCGATGGACTCTCATCCCCTCCAGGGGGGAGTATAAATTCTAAGGGTCTCCTCGTGCTACAGAAACCGGGATAAGCTCCAGCCTCGTCAGTGATGGGTCACTTGCCTCGTATGCAGACTTTTCCTTACACTCCCGGACCCCCAGAAAGGGAGACAAGAGAGTGTGATTTCACAAGGCCCAAATACGTTTAAACACAGATTTGGCTTACCTAGGTTCCATATTGACTTACAAATCCGGACAAGGAGCATTTCGTAGCGAGCATTTCATTTATTTTTTGGCAGGGTCATGGTTATGTGAATTTATTCCGAGCTGTCAGACTGGGTGGAATCACAGAGAGTAAGTTGAAAATACACTCATGTAGTAATATTATGATGTCTCATTGCAAAAAGAGAGGGAATGAAGGGTAACAGAGTGAATCTCACATACAGTTCATATCCCTCTCAAGTGATTTTTAGGTCACTCAATACAACCTCGTGGAGGCTCGGTGGCCTCATGGTTAGTGCGCTCGATCCAATCGAGCTGTCCAGGTCCGGGCAAGGCTCTTTACTCTCTGAGTGCCTCTCTTCACCCAGGTGTACAAATGGGTACCGACGAATTTAATGCTGGGGGTAACCCTGCGATGGACTGGCATCCCATCCAGGTTGGAGTAGAAATATTCCTATAGTCGCTTTATGTTACAGAAACCGGGATAGGCTCCGGCCTAATGGGCCACTGGGTTCGTATGCAGACTCGACCCTACTCATAATTGCGGCCAATAGGCTGTTTAGAATGTCCTTCAGATCAATTCGCCCATGATCGACTCGTGAGAAGACTAAGAACGATAGAAAACTGATTATTCTGTTTTTTTTTCTTTCTTTTTCTTTTTTTTTTACAGGTTCACAGCTTGATGAACTGCAGAAGATGAACCTTGTCCCTCAGACCTGGCTACTTCGAATCTACAGTCAACATTATCACGCGGTAGGTCCACTTCTTCACGCTATACCAATTTCGGCGGAATCCCGCGTGCTTATCGTTTCGCCAACCGCAACTACTGTGCCACAATTCACTGTTTTTCCTATGTATAAGCACGTTGTCGTTATGTAGGTTCTTTTTTCGTGTAGTTCTTCTCTTATGTCGTAACTATTGTTGTTTTTTTCGTAGTTGCAAGGCGGAGGTGACATGTCGTTGATGACGAGGTTTGAACACGGAGCGGTACGTAAAGGCTTCATCCTAGAGGAGGTTAGTATGACAACGAGTGACCTATCTAATTTTTTACTTTTGGAGAGTAGTCTTTATAGGAACTGACTGTTGTGATATGGTGAGACGCCAAATAAATGTGTATATACTTAGTCTATTTTCTTTGAACATGTACTCGCGTTTTGCTTTTTAATTGTGCGTTTTTCCCTTAGCATTTAAAGTACCATTCAGAGATCATGTCTCTGCACGGATTTCATTTTGAAGTTAAAGCTACCAGGGACGAGTTTGATTCAAAATACTTCTTCTTCCTCCAGGTTAGTGTCGCTCACATCTTATGTTCCTGCGGCGAGGGTGTAGTCAGAGGGAAACAAAGACAGATTATTTTACTCGGACCTGACAGTGGAGTGGGGTAGGGCGACGGGAGGGGGGCATGGGCTTTACGGGAGGCGGAAGAAGAGAGGGCGGGAAGGGGGCCTCCCACGATAGCGTCAAATGGGGAAAATAGGGGAAAGTTTTGTAACATCACATTACAATTTTGCAGTAGAAAATCAAATGATGTGGAACCACTACGGAAGTGGGAGTTAAAGGTTCGAAAAGCGGAAATTCAGATCCCTTGTCTCCCTTCCCTTGTACTGAGAAAATTAGGCGATTCCCAGAGGCACTTGAATGACGATCGGTTGTTTTCTCCTCAGATACTTTCAAAGATCATCGTTGATTATAACACTAGTCCTTCCTAGTTTTAATGCTTCTCACACTGGCATCATTCAATGCTTTGCAGAGACTAAAACCAAATGATCCAGTGTTATCGTTCAGAGCTTGTGAACGTCATACATTCTCCATGCGTCACGATAGGGAGGTATGGAGTACAGACATGTACTCACCTTTGTGCTAAAAGTCCGTTGAACCCCGCTATTTCGTACTCTTAGGGGAAACGAAAAATAGTTCGAAATGGCGAGATTTCCACAGAGCTGATAGTAAATGACTGAAGGGCGAATCCAAGGGAAAAAGTTTTGAGTTCGAAACAGCGAGGAATTCGAAATGACCGAGTTCGAATTAGCGGGGTCCAACTGTCAGTTTGGTAATCGTTTGGCCTGCCCGGCATTCCCTTTTATTACTTTCCTTATGCAAGCTATTCATCGTTTTACTGCGCTATAAAATTGCGTCATCTTTGCAGCGCATACGAATGGTTCGCTTGCAGTTTATTTTTTATAGCTAAGCGTCGGATTTGCATTCGAGTAGGTTTGATTATGACGCGCCCCTGCAGAAAACGAAAATAATGAAACGAAATAACAAAAAGAAATGGAATTTAATTATTACATTTCTTGGGTGTCGGGTGATTTTTCTCCAATATTTCTAATTCAGTATATCCCGGCATCGTCTCATGATGGGTGTGACAAGAGCGAAGAAAAACAACGTAACTTACAGACCAATTTAGGAGTTAGTTACATGATTGACATGACATTTTAGGCATTAAACCTGATATATGGAGTATTGTTGTTTTGTGGTTGATCTCTAACCTGAAAGGGAGAAATAAGATACACACTAGAGGTTGGGCCGCGCAAAGAATTCACTGCTGCCTGTACGTTCTATTTGTAGGTACGGTATTGCATTCGAGTTCAGTGGTCAGACTGCGGTGTAAATAAAGTGTTTTCAACAGGTAGGTCAATGACACAGACACTCTTTTGCCGACCTCTGGTGTTCCCAACCGTTTGCTTCTCCTTCTAGTCTTCCAAATAGTCCTGAAACATCTAAGCGTTCTTAAAAGATAAATTATTTTTCCGCTATGGTTGGCATTGGGTCTCCGAATGTTGCCTGAGCCCGTAGGTAAAGGTAAAGTCTGCATACGAGCCAATTGGCCCATCAGGCCGGAGCTTATCCCGGTTTCTGTAGCATGAAGCGACTAGGAGTATTTCTACTCCCCCCTGGATNTGTCCGCGGCCAGGGCTCGAACCCGGACCGCTCGATCCGGAGACGAGCGCACTAACCATGAGGCCACCGCGCCTGCCTGAGCCCGTAGTTTTATTAAAAGGGTTGGTAATTATTGTTTCGTTTATTGATGATTAGATAAACAAACCGACATGATTACTACCGGAATACTTGTTCTTATTTTGGAACTGGATAACAAAAGTCGGAACCCCTTATGTACTTCATTGAAGATTTACCGAAAAGACATCTTTCCCGCCAGTCTCTCTTCCCGATACTGTCCAGACATTTTAGACTGACGCAGTCTTAAAACAACAAAGAAATAGTTTGGCGAAAATACTAAAGAATTTTTGAAGGTGAGGTACAACAGTCAAATTTGGAGGGATGATTTGAACTCTTTCTTTCTTTCTCTGCTAATCTTTTTTAGGAATCCTTTGCCAGAGTTTCGGTTTTTCAGGAAAAACTAAGCAATCGGAGGTAAGTATTAATTTCTCTTGTATATGAATGTTTTCGACTGCTTATATTTTGTAGGTTGAGACCACTCCAGCTCAAAATTGAAGGACAAACAGAAAACCTCCCAAAAAGTTACAAAATTGAAGTAAAAAAATGGTTAATCCTGAATTAGCTTAATCTGGCTTTGAAGAACCCGGAGCTGTACACTTTCCTATCCTCTGGTTCAGCTAAAAGACAGTCTAAATACCTTTTGCTCACAATCAGAAAGTAATCAGGTGTTGAATAGGCTTGTCACTTCCATTTTATGACATAAAACGTAGGGGTAACCACCCGTTTTTTAAAGTTATTGATCTTTTTTGAAACCT